CAGTAAGTATATAATGCTGACGATTCTGAAAGCCACCCAGAATGGCTACATGACGGGGTCAGGGCAAGAGGTATGAGCCTTGAGGCCAGGCAACTGCTATCCAGGTGAGGAGGGGAGATGTTGAGGCTCTGAGATCTTCTCCGCCCCCTCCAGCGCCAGAAAGGAGGTAACCCTCGGGGCACGGGAGCTTTCAGGAGGGAGGTAGGAGGCTTGACCTTCCTCCCATCGCCTGTCCCAGAGTCCGCCCCACCACCACCCTGCAGTGCAGGACGTTCTAGATCTCCCCTCTGGCAGCACTCGTGCAGGTGAAGGATTAGAAGACCTGGTTCCTGTCCCATCTCTGACACTTCCCAGATGTGTGGCCATGGGAAAGCCAGCACCTCCATCTGAGGCTCAGTTTTGTCACCCATAAAAGGGCCGTTGTGAGGCTCAGAGAGTGAGAGGTACCCCCTGAAGGGAGGTGTTAAGGTTGTTACCTATTCACAGTCTTGGACAGCTCCCTGGAGTATCGATATTTTCCTGTCCCTACCTGGCCAAAAGGGGGCCTCTGAGAGCACTCCCCAAAGCAGCCACCCTCCCCCGAAGCCCTAAAGTGCACCGTAGCTCAGCCCAAGGCTGGAAAGCTCAGACCTACAGAATCACAGGACGATCAGAGGCACAAGTGCCATTGGACAACCCCTGTGTGTCCCATGCTCTCTTGCTTGGCAGATGGGGAAACAGAGGCACAGAGTCTGTGACATGGAAGCAGGCTCTCGGTTTACTCTCTGGGGCCTCCGATGGGAAGAGGTGAGTGGTGCTGGAGCTGGAACTATGGGGCAGAGCTCCATGATGGAAACTGAGAAGATAACAGGCCTGGCGGAAGGGCCTGGGAGAATTGGGGCCTGGATGCTGGGAAGGTGTGGCCTCAGAGAATGGAGGGAGCCATCTGATGGGTACACGGAGAGGAGGCAGACCAGGAGAGCCTGCTGTGCACATCTGCTCTCTGCTGGACCTCACCACCCACCCTTAGAGGCACAGGCCTCAGAGCTGGGCAGGGACCAAATGTCTCCTGGATCCAACCAAGGTGTGAAGACTAAAGGTCCTCCCTGTTATTCCACTGCCATGGGAGGGCCTGATGACTGCCTGGTGAGTAAGAGTCTTTACTCCACCTCAGAGTACCCAGCTGGTCACCCTGTCTGCACCATAGCCTGGGGATGAGATAAGGCAAGTCCCCGTTCTCAACCCAGAGGCCCAGCCCAGACCTACAGCTCACTCCCAGCCCCGCCCACTGAGTAGTTGTGAGGTCCTAAGCAGGTCACTTAAATCTCTCTGAGCTTCTTTCCTCAGAGGCAAATTACACCTTCTGGTTTGTGGAGAGGATGTAAGGAGAGATTATTTCCCAAGTGCTTGGGGAAGCGTACGCACTCAATGAATGTAACTCTCCTCCTGCCCCTTTGGCCCTCTGGCTCCCTTTTGGGGAGGGGGTTGTGGAGAGTGGAGACAGAGGAGACAACCCTGTAGAAGCAGGAATTCACCCCCCACATGTGTCAGTCCCCTGACCACCCCCAGCCCACTGAGGGGCCCCTGCCCGAGGGGACCACAGTCATGACACCCTGCACAGGACCTAAAGCCTCCCACCACCACCTTCCTCCCAGGCCTAAGCAATGGCCTTCTTCTCCTGCTGATAGCTCCCCAGAGGGTGGAGGGTGAGGGAATTAATAGCACTTAAGTCTGTTCTGAAGGTGGGTGTGGGCTGGGCCCCATACTGGTGCCCACGGACAGGCCCCGTGCAGCCTGCATCCTCCTGATGGCCGCTGAAGCCGCCTCTGGAGCCAGGTGACTTATGGGTCTGCACGGGCTGAGCGGAATCCATCTTCCAGCTCCCAGTGGCTGGGAAGTGAAAGCACTAACCTCTCTGATTCACCCCAGACCTCCAGGCCCACAGAGGCCAAGGCCAAGAGGGTGGGGGCTCAGAACACACAGTCCCCAAAGATGCCTGATCACCATGATAAGAACTTGCCCTTGGTTTACAGAGGCCCAGAGAGGGCTAGCTACTTGCCTAGGGTCACACAGAGAGTCTAAGGCTGAGGATACAGAGCTGGGACTGAGGGACCAGCAGGAAACTTTGTTAATGAGGACCTGAGTTCGACTCCTGTTGACCCTGGACAAGTCCCTCACGGTGCAGTTTTCTCTGAAGGGGGGATGGTAATAGCACCTAACTCAAAGCAATGTGAGAATTCAATAAACTAACGCTTCAGAGGCCCTCAGCACAGTATCCAGCACACAGTAGGCACTAACTAGGTCATAGCAACTTCCAAGACCCCACAGGGATCAAACCTGCCTTGTTATTTCTCGAAAGTGGAATAGAGACAGCAAGGGCCTGAGTCCCAAGAACTGGAGCCCAGGGTCCCCAGGAGGCCGGGCAGACTCAGGGCCCAGGCGAGATTTCTTGGACTTGCTGCCAACAAGTGCCATGCTTGCTCAGCTGGGAAGAGGGGAGATTAACCCCCGGCTCCACGCTTCAGAGAGTTGGGCCTGCTTTGTGTGCTGGGCTGGGCTCCTCTGCCCTCTTCAGCCACTTCCTAGTTTCCAGATGCCAAAGGAACTGGCAAGGGAGGTGGCGGGTAGGTGTCTTCTGGACAGGAGCTTTTGAACATGAGTGGTGATCCCCAAGGTCACCTGCATCCCCCCACTTCCTAGAGGTAGCTATACCTTGTCACTCACTGAGAGATTTGGACAAAAATGTTGAGAGGACTGAACATTCTGACGTAGGTGGTCATCAAGGTAACAGGAACTGGCCTAGTTCCCCGCTGGGGCTGAATTCTTGCCCTCCAGGTCCTTAAACACCCAGAAACTCTGTCCTAAGGTTTTGGACCTGGGGTGGGGATGGCTTTCTGGCTGCCTCAATGCTATGCATTCTTGGAGGTGGGGTGGGGTGGGGGTGGAGGGAGGGCAGCTGTGGCTCCAGCCACCTTTCAGCAAGTGGAATTCCCACCTTCCAGCCCTGGATCAGGCCTTCAAGGGTTTCTCAGGCTACCCTCATGTCCCAACTTAATGAACCTGGGCCACTTTGATGACGAGGGGTTGGGGCTCCCTCCCACAGGAATGTGCTGGGACCGTGCCTCCCTGGTGTCCCTAGAGGTCTGGAAGTCTTTCATACCATCCACCCTCCCCAGGGGACGCTCAGCTGACACCTGTGTGAGAGCGGTAGCAAAGTAGCAGTGTGGTAACAGTCCATGTGACAGGTCGAAGGACTGAGGCCCAGAAAGAAGTGCCTAATGGCATAGCGAGGCAGAATTTCCCATGGGAAAATCAAGCAGGCTCCCGGCATCCTCCCTCCGTCCCCCAGCCCCTGTGGCCCTGAGCTGCAGTCCTCTGAGCCCTCAGGAATTCAGGCTGAGTTTGCTGGCTGTCAGAATACTGTAGCCTTGAGAATGAATTCAGGGCTGGCAAATTCATTTTGCCTCTTCTCCCTCCGGTGCTGGAAGGAGTGATCTCGCCGGCTCTGAAGGAGTTCAAGCCGAGGTCAGAGAAGCCCTCTGAAGGATGTTCTAAAATGGGGGTTGGGGGGATGGTACTCCGGCTTGCTCCCGCGTTGGCCCAGGGTCCGCGCTGATCACTGCCCAGGAGGCCGGGGGCGATCCTCGAGTCTGCGTGGCACATCCGCGCTCCCAAGCGGGCCTCGTCAATCAGACAGCGGCTCTGGCCGGGCCAGGACGTCTTCCGCTAGTCTCAGGCCCCGGGGAAGACCCCCGCCTCGGCTGTCTCCGGGTGCCCGCCCACCCCACCACACGGCGGTGTCATTGTTCTCTGACGTCACGCTGTGTCCCCGCCCCTCGACCCCCACCCTCCCTCCCCATCTCCGGCTTCAGGCGCCCGAGACCCTGCAGCCTCCAAAGCCCCAGCCGACCAAGGCTCCCCCCGCGGCCCGACCGGGGCTGCGCCCCCTTGCGCTCTCCCCAACTTGCCTTTGTTATTCCAGCTCCCTTCCTCGCCTCGCCTCCGACACCGCGGCGGACTGCAAAACGCGGAGCGTGGAGCCGCCACCACACCTGGAATCCGAAGCGGGAGCCGGGCCGAAGCCTCCCCAGCTTGTGCGGGGAGGGGAGGGCGCGCGTGCGCGCGTGTGTGTGTCCAACCCGGGCTGCGCGGGCGCTGATTATGATTTGGGACTGAGGGTACCGCAAATCATGAGTAGGGGGGGCTTGGGGAAGGGGTGTGGAAGAGAACGTGAGGGGATGTGTTTGTATGTGTACATGAACGTGAGGATTTAGTGCACAGGGAGATGTTTTGTTTTTTGAATGTATGTGGGTTTGCACAGTGGTGTGTGTGTGTGCGCGCGCGCTTGCCGTGTACACGGGCATTTTTGTGAGCGAAAGTGTACGTGTGTGGGTGCGTGTGCGTGTGAGAGCGTGTTTGTAATACTGAGTGTGGGAGCGAATGTGTGTGCCGTTTGTGTAGGAGTTTCCGTGTGAGGGGCAGCGGACGTGAGCCAAAGTGGGCGCGCACTTAGATGCTCTCAGGCGCGGGTCTGCCAGGGGAACCCCGCGACCGGGCTCACCCAACTAAGCCTTGTGAGTGCCATCGCTCTCCGTGGCTCCTGGGACAGTGCACAGCCCTGGGCCGGGATCCCGCGGCCCCCACCCCGCCCGCACACATTGGGCCCGGGACGCTTCCCGCCGGGCCTCGGCGAATCCAAGCGCTTTTGGACCGCGCAGGGTGCCGGGGACAGACCGTGCGCACCGCTTCTACCCAGCGCTCTAGCCTACCTCAACATTGCCCTTGGCGGGGAGGGGAGGGGTCCTCTGCTCGCCCCACCCGCCAGCCCCCGGGCTTTAGGAGCAACCCCAAAGCCTCCTCCAACGGAAGTCTTTGGCAATCTCGTTAGCAACTCGCTCAGCCCCAGTTCGGGTACCTGACAGCTTTCGCGGCCCCAAACGCACTCCAGTCGGGGGCTTGAGAGCAAAGCGGGGGACACTCCGGTGAGACAGGTGATTTTAGCCCCCTCTCCAATGTGATCCTCAGCATTTCTCTCCTGCTCCAAACTTGCTGGAGCGGGTGGGGGTGGGGTCGCGGTTGGTGGGGGGAGCGGCCAGGGAGTAGTGGAGGCAGGAGAGAGAAGGTGAGTGGGAGTGGGTGACGCGCGAAGCCCCATCAGAGCCATAGAGGGGAAAAAGCTTGGAGAGCTCCCAGACCGAGGAGCTGGGAAGAAAGGAAGCAAAAGAGGGAAAGGGAAAGGAAAGGCGAGGGAGAGAAAGAGAGGCGAAAAGAGACAGGGAGAGGCGAGAGCGCAGAGAGCGCTAGGCGAGCGGAGCTGAGCGCTGGCAGCGGCGGCGGCGACGGCGACGGCGGTGGCGGTGGCGCGGCGCTCCGCTCCTCCCCTAGTTCCGCACCGGCTTTTGCGGCCGGCCGGCGGCGCGGGGCCCTTTGGAAATAGAATAGCCAATGTAATCTGACACTTCAACTTGCTCGGCTCCGGGCGAGTTGATTCACTTACTCACCCCCTAACGCCGAGTTCCTTTTCACTGTCTGTGGACATTAAAAAAGCGAGCGGCGGCTGGCGCCCGGGAGAGCGAGCGGCCGGGCGGCAGGCGGAGAGCAGCGACCGGGCGGCGGAGCGAGCGAGCAGCGCCGGCGCAGCGCGGTGACCCCAGTCCCGGTCGGCGCGGAGCAGAAGCCGGCGCGGAGCCCATCTCGGCGCCCTCGCAGCTCCTCCCGGCCGGAGCCGGCCCTGCCCGGCAGCGGCGGCGGCGGCGGCAGCGGCGCGTCCTCCAGCGGCGGCAGCGGCGCTCGCAGCTCCGGGTAAGTTTGGGGCCAGACCCGGGCGTCCGCTGGCCCCAGGCCTTCCTCCCGCTCCCCGTGGACTCTTGGGGTGCGACTGTGGGGCGCTGGGCGTTAGGGTTTTTCCCTTTAATTTCCGCCGGTACCAGGCGAGCCGGACGAGTGGCCGGCGGCTGGGCTCCGCTGCGCTCTTCTTGGCTACCAGGGGCCAAGGCCCAGGCAACCGGCGAACGCCGGGCTGCGCGGAGCCGTCTTGGTCTGCGCGCGGGGGCCGGGGCTCTTCGGGTGCGCGGGGCGTGAGTGCAGTTGTACGCGCGCGGACCTGGTGCCCGCCTCCTGCCGGCGCGCCTGCAGCCCTGGTTCAGTACACCGGGGGCCGTGCAGGACCGGGATTCGGAAGGGAGGGAGGGAGGGAGGGAGGGAAGAAAGAAGGAAGGGAGGGAAGGAAGGACCGGCGTAGGATCACCTCGGTTTCCCTCGTCTCCTTTGGAAAGACGCGAAGTTGTGCGCCTGTGTGTAGGGGAACCGCCAGGGAAGGCGCCGGATTTCGTGGCGGCAAGGGGTGGTGGTGTTAAGTTGTGCATCTGAATTTCCAGGGAAAACACACACTTTTGTAAATGGGAGGGGGGGCGCGGTTAAGTTGTTTGTGTGGGAATTGCCCAGGGAGACGCGGCGCACCATACTAGCGGGGAACGCCAAGGGGTGTGTGTAGGGTCTTCCAGTAGATCTTTAGAAGCCCGAGGAACCTTAAGGCCAAAGCCTCGATGGAGCTGCCCCAGCCAAGAGGGCAGCCCAGGGGGAAGATGTGCGTGTGTGCGCGCGCGTTGCAAATACGAAAGTAATTTCCCCGTGTTCTTTTCTTCCTCTCCGTCTCCGGCGGCGGCGGCCCCGGGGGAGTGGGAGGCCGGCCCGGGCGGAGGTTGGGGGGCCGGGCCGGGGCTGGAGCTGGGGTGGGGGGCGGGCTCTGGAAGCTTGTTTCACATTCCTGGCGTCTGGGCTGGGTAGAAAACAGTGGGGAGCGCGGCCTCGGCGTCTGGGGCGCGGGCAGCGGGCGCGCGTCGCCCCCTCGCCGGAGACATCTGTCCAGGAAGCCAGCCGGGCGAGGAGAGGGCGCGGCGCGGAGGGCAGGCTCCCCGCCCCGGAGCAGCGGGGGCGCGGGCGAGGGGCGGCCGTCTTCCCCGCCATTGTGCGCCAGCAGATTTTCACGGGAGACTGCCCCGGAGCCGCCGGAGAAGGCCGGGAGCCGGCCTCAGCCCCGGGTTTAAAAGACACTCCAGGAATGTAAACAACGCGAGCGGGAGGGCGGGCGGGTGCAAGCCAGGGCAGCCGGCCCGGGTCCTCCACCCCTCCCCGGGGGACAGCCCGACAGCAGGGCCGCTCAGCCCGACCCCTCTACCTGCCGCAAACTTTTTCCTCCCTTGCCGTCCCTTCCCACCTCGCTCCTCCGGCGGGCCACGGAGCGAGGGCCTCTCCCTGGGCGGGAGCCCAGGGCGCCTGGCACCCGGCGCCTGACCCTGGAGGCCTGGCGGCCCGGCCCCTGCTTGGGTGTCCGGAGTCCCGGCAGCGCCTGCCTGGGAGCCGCAAGCTTCCTGCGCAGGCAGTGCCGGAGTAACTGGGGCTCTGTGAGCCTGCCCGCCTGCCTCCCTCCTTCCCGCTGCTCCTAACCCCCGCTCTCCGCCTTCTCCTCCCCCCGACTGCTTTTCCAATGCCCTGACATGAGGGAGGAAGATTTAACTTGGCAGCCCAAACAAATGTTCTCTCAGAGGTCCTCCAAGAAGCTGGCGGCTGAGCTGGCAGGGTGAGGGCACTGCTCGGCCAGCCTTTTCTTCCTCCCTGCTCTGCCATGGCCATTCGGAGCCCCCTGGGTGGACAGCCCAGGGCATGGGAGAGTAGGGCCCAGCCCCACAGATTTAAAAGGGCAGGGGGAAGCCACCTCTGGAAGCTCCTGGCTTGGCACTGGGCAGGAGCTGCCCGGAGTTGCCTTCTGGTGCCAAGGGTTTTCTGGAGGATTTTCTTGAGCAACAGTTTGTCTCCTTGCTGCAACCCCGGGAACAGGGCCTGGTAGACCAGGGGGTTAGCCAGTGCCGTCTCCTCCTCCCTCGTGGGTGTGAAGACAGGCTCGTTACACAGGGCAGGGCAGGAGGCCAGAGGCTGTTCCCAGAGGTGTGGGTTTGCTTATTATTGTTTCTTGAAGGTAGAGAAAAAGAGGCAGGCGCTGCAGCTGGAGAATGGGCAGCTTGGCTGGTGATGAAGTCTGACTAGCCTTTGCTGGCGTTTGTAGCGTGGTCCCGGGAGTTTGAAAGTTGCTCTCAGGGAAGTTCAGATGAGGGAGCAAATCCGTAACTTTCTGTGTCCCGGCTGCTTTTTGAGGGGGTCCAGGGAATTCCTGGCCCCTCACTTGCCCGCTGCCTGCCCCTCTTGGCGCAGTTTGTGAATATGCCCCAAGCCTTGTGCTGACCTTCCGCTCTTCAGGTTGAAGATATTGAAGCACCAGCATCAAACAAAAGACACATTGAAAGCCGAATCTGCCACAGAGCACGTGTGACTTTGGGGCCAAGGGAGTGCATTGGGAGGGCGATGGTGTTTTCTTCTGAGTTTTGTGTTTTCGGCTGGGTTTTGTTTTCTCCAAAAGGACAGAAGCATCTCCTTGTCCCAAGTCACAAGGATATGAAATGCTGTCTGTTTTCACATGTAAATCTCAAAACTGTAGACTTCTGAGTTGGTGGCAGTGACTGTGGTGGCCAGGGGGTGGTGGGGATTGAGCGGTAGGGAGTTTTCAAGAGTTGTAAATGGTTTTTGGATTGGGGTTTTGAGGCATTCAGGGTATGGCTCACAGAGAAGAGTTGGGAATAAGTAATTGTTGGACTTATTGGAAGCTTTGATAACTAGTCCTGTCTATGCAAAAAAAGATTGCTGGCTTTTTTATGGGGACAAATGTCCCTTTTTTCTCCTAAGGAAGGAGAGAGGAGGAGGAGCCTCATTCCTTTCTCAGCCAGGAGCAAAGAAAGGTCCAGAGACTTGGGGTTTGTCTCTCTCTCTCTCTCTCTCTCTCTCTCTCTCACACACACACACACACACACACGCCTAGTGACAGTAACACAACATTGTCTCCATCCCTGGTCCCCAGAGATGTGCCCCAGCCTAGGACAGGTGTACACCATCAATGGAAAATTGCAGAGGGAAGGACCCAGCTAAGAGCTGCAGACTTCACTTTTTTCCTGATTGACAGAGATCGGGGTGGATAAGGGAGGAAGACGCTTGGAGGCCTGCTGTGTCCTAAGAGTTTTGTCGTAAGAGTACCCGTGTGTGAAGCCACAGATACTGAGTTCTCTAGCCTTGGCCAGCATCCAACAGGCAGTTGTGACCCTAGTCTCATGGAGAGATGTTGCTGTAAGAAATTCAGGCACCAACGAGTCAATTTCCGGAAGCTTCTCTGGGCACTCTGTCACAGAACCAGGAAGCCGGGCCTGCCAGGTCCTGAGTCCCATACTTTTCATTCATAACTTTGCTCCCCAGGGCCCTAGCCTGGCTCCTATCACCACCTCATCTTTATGAGGTTCCTTAGGTTTTGTGTGGACAACAAAGGCCGGGCTGCTGTAATTACACTGAACCCTGCTGCAGCCTTGCCTGGTGACTGCTCTGACCTCTCAGCAGGACACAGTGGCTTCTGTCCACGCCCTCTAAGGAGGGGGGCTCTTTGTCCCTAGAGCTCTACCCTGAGGAAAGGGGGAGGCAGAGCCTGTGTAGGCTGGAAGCTCCAGGGGTGATCTGGAGGTTGGACACTGCCCTCAGGGAAGATGAAGGAAGACTGAGAAAACCAGTCCCAAGCGCAGGCTATGAGGAAAGAGTCCAGAAACCCGTCACGATTATGAGGGTGTTTGCTATTACCTGAGGAGGTAGGGGAGAGGTGTCAGGAGGCTGTAGCTGACTGGCTGCTTTGGGCCCATAGCTTCACTCAGCTGGGCCTCAGTCTCCACATCTGTAAAATGGGCCCAAGGGCAGGACACCCGCCCCCCCTGCCCCCCAATCCTACCTGCTTGCTGTGAGGATGAGGCAGATATGGGCGTGAGATCCCTGGGTGTGTGTGCCCTGAAGGCCTGGCAGGCTCTGCGTACAGAATGGATGAGGCACAAAGGGGTTGGATTGGAGGTGCTAGAAGCATTTTCCAGAAACTGCTCTCCCATCCAAGGCTACCTCCTTGGCAGCTTATTGTCCAGCCTTGGCTTGCATGCTCCCCATGACAGGGAGTTCACTACCTTAGGGCAGTTTTTGCCTTTGGTGCACAGTTCTGACTATTGGTGTGCTTAGCTGCATGCCTTCTGGAAATCAACCTCTCCTGACCTCTCTGGGCTTGAGGAGCTGGGGATTCTCCAGACCACAGACTTGTACTTTCCTGGATGATCCCAGATTCAATACCAGTGCCCAGGCAAGCCACACCCCTGTGGGGTGGGAGGACACCCTTCAAATGGCTGCTTCCAGCCCTCACTGGGAGTGACCTGTGGGGAGTAGGAGAGGGTCTGCCTGAGGGGCTCACTGTTATCTGTCTTTGTGTGCCAGCTTTCCTCCTGGCACTTTCCTTGGATTCGGGTAGGAGGAGAAGGAAGGAGATAGATAGCAGGGGGTGGGGTGGGGTCAGGGGCCCAGCATTGATCTCACAGATACTTTCTGAGAGTCCACAGTGTGAGGACCGTGGCCTGTGAGAGACCCTGAAATGTGTAAGACAGTTCCTGTTCCTTAGGAGCTCACAGTCCAGCAAGGGCAGGAAGATCAGTCCAAATAAATAATTAACCAGCACCAGCTGGCTGCCTGCCACGGGGCGCACGATGACAGTAATAACCACAGCCCCTCGCCTTTGTATGGCACTTGGTGGATTTAGAAGCGCTCTCCAACTTTGCTTAACCCCAAGAACAGCAGCAGAAGCTAGCTACTATTTGGAATTAGCCCCATTTAGCAGAGAAGAAAACTGAGGTTCAGGGAGGTGAAATGACCTGTGCCTCAGCCAGGAGTCAAGCCCAGGCCTTACAGATAGATGCCAGCTGTGCTACTGCCTTCGCAGTCCCCAGCAAGGCAGGGACAGGGATACAGAAATCCACGTGGCCCCCGAGAATGGGGAATCGGGGACTGAGGTTAAGGTGGAGGAGCTGTGCCCAGGAAGGGTCATGGTGGGGCTTCACTTGCTCTTCCCATTCGGCAGCACGCGGCCCATGCCCCGAGCAACTGCACCCTTTTCTTATGGCACAGTGTCTTACAGCCAGAGCTTGCTCTGAGCCCCAAATCCTGCCATGACTACCCAGGGCACACGTGTCTGTGCATGGGGCTTCATCCCTGGCCCTGGAGCAGGAAGCAGAGATGTTTC